CTTGTAAGAGGTATACTTCAATATTGGAAAAAGTTTTTGCAATCAACAATTCCAAAACTTCAACTCAACAACCAATTGATTAAGCCTATATTCAAGATATTAATGTTTTGTTTGGGAGCTTACTAAGGGAAGGGAAGTTAAATAATGGAAATAAAAGGTAGAGGAGGAGAAGGAAAAGATAAAATGTTATTTGGAAGTTTAGTAAGGGGAATGAAAGTAAACTTAATTCACCTTGTTTGGGAGTTCTAGTAAAGGGAAGAAGGGAAGTGAAGTGAATATATATAAAGTTACATAAATACCCTTATATATTATTATGTCATTTTGTCAACTAATAAATTATAATGGTAAAATTGTCTCTCCATCTTGTAAAAATTTACACTCATTTTCTTTACTCGCGCTACCGCCCAATTTGGAGGGGAGGAATATCTTATCAAATTTCACCTTTCCTTCCATCCTTTAACCCCTAAAAAAAAAAAATCCAAACAAAGGTTTTAAAAAATTTCACCTTTCTTTCCATCCTCTAACCCCCAACCAAACACACTGTAAATCCTTGGGGTTAGTCCTTACTGTAATTTGCTCTTGATATTTGAGCATTAAGTGCCTTTTCCAAAGTGAAAAGGAAAAGCACCTCATAAAACCTAAGTGCCTGCTAGAGACACAACTGAGAGTTGAATACAGCCAATTTGTGCTGTACAATCCAATTCAAGCATAGCTTTCCGAACTTTTCCATAGCAATAGCCATCAATCTTATTCAAATTCTTCTTACATATAAAATTAAAAAAAAAGGGCTCATTCTGGACGTGATAAAGACTTGCATCTTGTAATCTAATGACCACTAGTATACATAATTAACACGCGGATCTCATGCGCACTTGACTTAATCAGTTATCATTACCAACAAGGGGTTTGGTAACCACAATGTACTAATTGTCGACTTAATAAAACCATCTTATCGATTATTTATGATGTTTAAAGAGACACGACAAGATTCTATTTTTCCACCAAAGCTTTGTATTGGTTCTGCCGTACCAAAGCTCTT